TTAGACGGATTGCACACACATAGAATTAGCGTACTGACTCAACGTGATCACTTCGTGTACTCTATCTTAAATTGCTCTCACCTCACCCACCAACAGAATTACCGGTGCCGCTGTAGCGTGCCTGCCTGTGGATGACACACGGACCTATCAGGCCGTCCAGAGGATAAGCAGTAAGATTTTTAATCAGAGAGGCATTGTGAACTTATAGAGACTGCCAACTCCTAAGTTTCACGGTATCGGTTTAGATAGACTGCCAACTCCTAAGTTTCACAGTATCGGTTTAGATAGACTGCCAACTCCTAAATTTCACGGTATCGGTTTAGATAGACTGCCAACTCCTAAGTTTCACGGTATCGGTTTAGATAGACTGCCAACTCCTAAGTTTCACGGTATCGGTTTAGTTAGACTGCCAACTCCTAAGTTTCACGGTATCGGTTTAGATAGACTGCCAACTCCTAAGTTTCACGGTATCGGTTTAGATAGACTACCAACTCCCAACTTTCACGGTATCGGTTTAGATAGACTACCAACTCCCAACTTTCACGGTATCGGTTTAGATAGACTACCAACTCCCAACTTTCACGGTATCGGTTTAGATAGACTAGCAACTCCTAAATTTCACGGTATCGGTTTAGATAGACTACCAACTCCTAAATTTCACGGTATCGGTTTAGATAGACTACCAACTCCTAAATTTCACGGTATCGGTTTAGATAGACTACCAACTCCAACGTGCTTTCCAGATGTGGTGCGTGTAATTTTTTCCTAGGGGTAATACTGAAACACGGTTTTAACGGATGTCTTCGTACGTTACTATCGGTAGAGCTCTTCTAGGTCAATTCAGAGAAAGCGGCCCGCGTTATTTCCATCCGCGCACTTTTACGTCTTAAATCGATCCCTATGCCTAACCTGAACCCTAAATCGATCCCTATGCCTAACCTGAACCCTAAATCGATCCCTATGCCTAACCCGAACCCTAAATCTATCCATAAGCCTAACCCGAAATCGATCCCTATGCCTAACCCGAACCCTAAATCGATCCCTATGCCTAACCCGAACCCTAAATCGATCCCTATGGGTAAGCCGAACCCTAAATCGATCCCTATGCCTAACCTTACCAAAGTCAATGTGGGCCGCTAAATCTGAAACAGCCCTCTTCTAATTCTAAAGTGAAAACAAATAATCCATATAATTGGCCTGAAAGAATAGCTTCATACCATTTGTTTACCATTTCACGTTGACAAAAATAAAGTGAAAGCACTGGCAGAGTTGGCAGTCCTAACACTGGCAGAGTTGGCAGTCCTAACACTGGCAGAGTTGGCAGTCCTAACACTGGCAGAGTTGGCAGTCCTAACACTGGCAGAGTTGGCAGTCCTAACACTGGTAGAGTTGGCAGTCCTAACACTGGCAGAGTTGGCTTAGAATTGCATGGTATCGTTAATGAGCGATGGTCTTGAACGGCGATCCACGAAGAATCCCATACTCGGACCGTTTCGTAACCGTTGGGGGGGGGGGGGGGGGGCGGCACTGCCACATAGTGGGAGCGGGAATGCACTTTCTATGCGTTCTAGTTGTACCACCATTAATTTAATATTGATTTAAACGAAGTAAAAAATTATCCATTTATCCAAATTATGTGTATTTAGTGGGGTATCTGACCGGGAGAGGGTAGGGGTCCCGAGGTCTGTGACCCCCCCCCCCCCAACTCGATGGCGTCAAGATACTTTTATAAATGGCCCGAACCCGAAGATTCCGACACATTGACACAATGAAAGATTCCGACAACTCCCGGGACGTAGAAGACACAAAGCGCAACGTTAAACCAATGACATATCTGCCGGTCATCTAGTGCATCCCTGGTCTATTTCCAGTCGTCTTGACCAAGTCGTGTCATTGGATTAATTAGGTCAGGACGAGAGAGTGAGGCTGACGAATTGATGCAATGTAGGGTAAAGTGGCGTCAGTTTTTTCAGTGCGTGGTATAGATATGGCGGGGCTTTCACGATCTTCGTATAATTTCTCTTCCAATGCCCCTTCTTGGCATTTAGCAAAGGTGTATGGCTCCAATTCAATAAATCTTCCTGGCATCAGAGACAACGTTGGGAATACAACAAGGAGATTCTGAACCCCAATCCTTCCACGGTGCACAATATCATAGAAACAAAAACCACACACTACGTGTGCATGAAAGGGTCAAAACATTTGGTGCCCTCTATCAAAATTCTTTCCGATGAATGTCAGGTTTTTTTTTAAAACTGAATCAACCCCTCCTCAACTTCCAACAGCTGCATCCGTCAGTGGATTTATCAACCCCTCCTCAACTTCCAACAGCTGCATCCGTCAGTGGATTTATCAACCCCTCCTCAACTTCCAACAGCTGCATCCGTCAGTGGATTTATCAACCCCTCCTCAACTTCCAACAGCTGCATCCGGCAGTGGATTTATCAACCCCTCCTCAACTTCCAACAGCTGCATCCGTCAGTGGATTTATCAACCCCTCCCCCACTTCCAACAGCTGCCTCCGTCAGTGGATTTATCATACAGTACTGGTATTCTGAAGACTCTCCTTCCCCCCCCCCCCTCCATCCCCACACTCCTTCCTTTTGTTTTCTCCACAGGTATCAAAGGCAACCAAACGATCAAGACCAGCATTGACTTCAGCCTGATCTTCTGTTTCATTCAGCTGATGTTATGCATGTTGATGATGTTGTGGACCATCAGTTTGGTCATCGACCACGTCAAGATCTTAACTAATGAGAAAAAGATTGAGATGCAGATGCAGCTGGCGTACCTCATTCGAAATATCAATAGTAAACAATCTGCAGACTGAACCGATCTAGCAGCAACTCCGTGGACTTGGTGAATGAGGCCAGCAACGAGTTGGATGTGATCAGTGACAGGATCCATCAACTAATCACAAAATATAATGACGAAAACAGCGCTTCTCAAACTTTTCACACCAGCTGGGGTAGGGAACCTATGGCTCGCGAGCCAGATGTGGCTCTATTGACGGCTGCATCTAGCTCGCAGACAAATGTTTGATTATAAAAAAACAATGTTTCTTTCGACTCCTTTCATTAGCAACAGCATAACAATGGTATTCAAAAGAATTCAGAGACATAGTTATTGCATTTTTAGTGTTGAAATTACAAAAAATGCACACATTTACTTGAAATTTTAGTTTTAAACATAATGTATGGTGCTCACAGAATTACTTTTCAAAATATGTGGTGTCCATGGCTCTCTAAGACAAAAAGGTTCCCAACCCCTGCTTCAGCAGAAGAGTCTGATTCCCAATCTATTACTTGTTCTATCACGTTAATTTCTTTTCTTTCCTTTTGGGGACCGCTATCTATAGTAATTGGTGGTTACTTTTGAGTAAAATTAGACTACACAACCATTATCGAATTCGATTAAAGCAATTAAGTAAGTAGTTCCGGTAGCTGTTATTGCATAAGAGGAAGGTATGACAACTTCAATTCTTAATTTTTACATTGCAAAATTAAAAACATAGGTGGACGATGTCGTTAACCTAATTGTTGGGGACATTATTTTAAAAGTATAGCCCGTAAGGACTTGGCTCAACAAGTTTTAAAAGGGGAAGTCATGCTGAGTTCAGTTTTGGAGCAACAAGAGTTTATTAACTCTACTTAATTGTGAACTGAAAAGACTTTACTGTGAACAAAATTGGGGACAAGAAAATAAATAGCTAGGAACATTCAAACATTTAGACTCATTCATGATCAACAATTGAATTAACATTTTAAATTACCTTACATTTTTTTTTACTCTAAATATACTTTGTAAATTTTATAACAATGCCAATTCATATTATACACTCGCGACCAATAAAAATATATTCAACACTTTTTTTTTAAAAACTAAACTAATCCCTGTTGAATTTTTTATAACCCAGACTGCCAACCTCATCAAGATAGGAGATGTACACCAAGAGACCTCTTATCTAATAAACCAAAATATTTTGTTTCTTACATTTAAGATTGACTTAAAATGGATTCTGAGTGAGCAGTGGATTAGACTTAGAGGCTATGAAAATATTTATTAACATGTAGCTCAATGGCAATGACTTATTAACAAACAAAATTCTTTTTTTTTTTTTTTTTAAATGCACATTGGTTTTTTTTTTAAAGATGGAATGTTTATACTAATTTATAGTGTATAATTTGAATTTACACAACTCATAGAACTCGGTAAGAAAACTATTAGATTTAATTTTATTAACAAACAAAATTTTTTTTTTTTTTTTTTTTAAATGCACATTGGTTTTTTTTTAAAGATGGAATGTTTATACTAATTTATAGTGTATAATTTGAATTTACACAACTCATTGAACTCGGTAAGAAAACTATTAGAGTTAATGATTCCCGGTCTTTGGACCACTTTATTTATATTTCTTAAAACCATAGAGGGTGAGGGGGGTATGGTCAGATTATTGGTACAAGTGCATGGGGATAGGGAGGTGTGTGTGTCCTATAACAAAAATTATGACAGATGTAAAATCTTAACTAATAATGCCTGGTCAAACAACTCTTCTGACAACATTAACTGTAGGTTTCTCCACCCTTCTCCCCATTTACAGTTTTTAGATTGAAACATAAAAACAGCTATAACTTTGATTTTTTTAAAAATTTGAATAATTAAGAACTGATTTATTATAAAAATAAACATTTTTGTACACAAGTATGTTGTTGACTTCAACTTGTTGACATGTTAACAATTCACGTTTGAAATTTTGACTTTTTAAATTAAAGAAATATTAACTTAGCCCAAATTATTGAGGACGTCATGAAATTAATTTTGGTTTTGAAAATTCCAAATAAAGTTGTCATTACTGATTCATTGCTAATTCAATAATTTTTACATGAAATGAGTTGGTGTTTTTTTAAGTCACTTGCATGAGTTTGTTTAAAATCAAATATTACAAACACAGTAAACACTGTAACAAAAAACAAAGCAATTTAAAATTATTTTATTTTACATTACTTTTTCACTTTTTGAGGATTAATTCTCTTTTTTGGAGCATTTTGTTTTTTCTGTCCCAACTGAACATTTCTCTGATTCACATGTCCAGTTGCACTGCTGGGCACCTCTTCCTTTGGCACTTTGGCAACTCCTTTGAGAAAAATAAAATGTCATGGATAAATAACATGAGTAATAAAGCTATTTTACTTCAGAATCTTCTTCTACAACCTCTTGTTTGCTTCAACAGAAAAGGTACGATTAGCTTCGGCTGCAAGGTGTGAGGCCTGCTGATTGTTCATGTCGTGGAACTTTTGGCCAATCTTGTTTACCTTTTCCATGTCCAGGCTGTATTCCGTGAACAACTTCACAAAATGAAGAGATCTCAAATAACATGCTTCGAAGTTCATGATCGTTTATCATGTTTGTGAACTTTCTGTTTTTCCATGAAGGTAGTCACAGTCAATCAGACAAGATGCCAGGGTGGTGAGAATTATTGGCAAAGACAACATTATTTCTCAACACAGAAGTAATTATGGCAATTTTTTTTGGCCAACTTCGGTTTCAATTAGCTACCACCAAATAACAGTTATCTAACGAAACATACCTTTACTGGTTTCACCCTGGCTAGCGCCATTGCTCTCATGGTTGACTTCCTTGGTCTCTAAATGAATAGAATTTTTGTTGAAAATCAATATCAATAATAGGAAGATGAATGAAATAAGGGGTGTTTAATCGTTATTGTTGATATTTATATATATCTACACACACTGTAAAAATGTCTATGATAATAACCAATGAGTATATAATTGGTCGCATGGCTTTAACATTTTCTCCTTTTCTTATTGACAGGTTGCATTGCACATATATTTCTACTTTTTTAAAAATATTAGCATACAAACAAAGTTTTAAAAAAGAACACTTGCTTCTGTAAATTTACAGAAAATATTCATACAGCAATAAAAAAAATCTTTAAAAAGTATCCTTTTTTAATAATAATTAGAAAGATCAGAAAAAAAAAAAATAGAAATATTATGAAACAATGTGAAATTTCCTTCTTAGAGAAACATTACAATGTTGGATTCGTGGTTGAGGTTTAGGGTGATGGTGTCAAAAAAAAAATCCAATGGTAGTGAAGAGAAATAACTCTAAATTAAAACCTTATTATATAACAGAACATATTTTTTGAAAATCAATGTGTGTAACGTTGGCTGACGGAGAACACCACTGACAATCAATAAATGTCCAGGAAGACTCCATTCACATGCAAAATAAACACGACTGAGCAACACAGATTTAAAAAGTCTTGATTTGCGCAAGCCCTTACTGTGTAAGTAAGTTATCATTGTGTAAGCCATCACTTTCACTTATAACTTTACACGTACCTGTCCCAGGAATTTTATTGCTAAACTTGTGCAATTTAGCCACAAAGAATCCATCCAAGTTGTGTGTGTGAGGGTAAAACCTGCGACTCAGCTTCAAGCTGGGATGAAATCTGTACTGCTGGAAACTGTAATGTCAGTTCAAAATTTACATCAGTATTTTACCAAGATTACTGGTGCTGTGCTTTACTAAACAGTAATAATATTTCATGCAATTTACTATATTTATTTATTTAGGCATTTTTATATAGCCCTTACCTTAAAGCTCTAAGCGCTTTACAATTATTAAAAACATGTAAACTAAGTAAAATAAAAATGAGACACTAGGATAGTAACTACTATACTATAGAAACAATTAAAATGGCTATAAAACGAGGACACTTTGGCACGTTTTGGCCTATATTACAGGATTAACCCGAGACAGAAAATGAGGCAGGGCAAGGAGGGTGCATCACAGGTCATAGGCGGACCTAAACAGATGGGTTTTAAGGGACTTTTTGAAAGTGGACGAGGTTTCACAATGACGGATATGGAAGGGGAGCTGGTTCCAGAACGTGGGCCCATGGAAGTAGAAGGAGCGTTCACCGATGGTCTTAGTTTTGGTTCTTCTATATCTATATCTATGACAAATGAATGTGAGAGCACATGTTAAATCATCTCAACGTTTAACTCAACTCTAATACATCATTCAATTGGAACAGTTACGAATTTTTTTTTCAGTCGAAGGGAAAGAGTTGTCTTTTCTTACTTAATAAAACCTTCTTTCCCAAAGTCCAATCCACAAGGGACAAGTTTCACATTCCTCTTCTTCAAAGCAAAGTCCACTACCCATTCATTCTCCTCCACCTAGGGATTAAGAGAGACAATGTTAAGGTGAATATTTTAATAACAAACTTGGTTCTATTATTCACGGTGCCTAGAAGGAGAACATAAAGCTTTGCTATGCCGTGAAATGTGCTTGTTACTTTCAAAATAATAATATGAAAGCAATTTGACTTTCATCTCATGACCAGATTAATATGACTCTTTTAGTTTTTAGGTGCATCTATCATTAGGGGGGATAACCTGCAATCATATAATCATTAGAATGCAAAATAATTTTTCTAAACAAATCCTAATACTTAATGTTTTTGCCTGCATTTGATGCAGATACCAGCCAGTAATGAGTTACAAATTATGGTACATATTTATGAAATGTTACAGCTAATGTAGCTTAAAAGATACATTTATTAAATCTTACAGATAATGTAGTTTTAATGAATAGACATGGAATGTTACAGCTAATGTAACTTAAAAGATACATTTATTAAATCTTACAGATAATGTAGTTTTAATGAATAGACATGGAATGTTACAGCTAATGTAACTTAAAAGACACATTTATTAAATCTTACAGATAATGTAGTTTTAATGGGTAGACATGAAATGTTACAGCTAATGTAATGCAGTCTTCAATATGAAACGGTTAAACAACATCAATTTAGAATATCACAAATAGTAAATTTCTAAAGTTGGTTTTCAATGATTGTTACTAAATGTTTCATACAAGGACCCCATTGTTTGTAACTAAATACATCATACTAAATGGGTCTGACAGGGGCGCCTAAGAATACAAGCTGGCACAGTGCTCTCAATGTTATTTAAAACGGGCAACCAAATCATGTGTCCCCCAAGATTTCCAACGATGGTGTGATACTGCATTATTTCAATTAAGAAAAATTAAGGCTTTTGTGTCCTTTTTTTGTCTATAGGCTTGACAGCTCGTCCGAAGTGCCAAACATTGATCTTTTTGTGTTTCTTACTTTTAGGCAGCAGATGTAATATTTTTCTTAAACCTAATCCAATGCTGGATGCATTTGTCCTTTTTTTTTTTGTTAAAAATAATTAATTGAAATTTACCTACTGAATTATTTTTTAGTTTTTTTTTCACTAATACAGTTTATTTGAAAGTTACTTCCCTTTGTTCAGGCATACAGATTAAGTACTAAAGTCACCACGCCGGGGGAATAAGTTTAAGACTCACCAGAATTGAGCAGGTTGAGTACACGATGAAGCCTCCAGTTTTAGAGTTAGCATTGCATGAGTCTATGGCAGCCAACAAAAGCTCCTTTTGTAAGTGTGAGCATCTTAAAATGTCTTTCTCATCCTGTAGGATGGAAGGAATAGTATGAGAAATCTACAAGAAATGAAATTGTCAAGTCCTCAATGGCTTTGATTAAATATAACACCTATTGCTAAACACAGACCTGCCAACCTGCAAAGAAAAAAAATCTGTAGGGGGGTTGCACGCAGGGGGGAAGTGGGGCCGTTGCCAACCAGGGGCGGCGCCCCGTTGGGAGTTCATTTAAGATCTACATGTATATATTAATGCACAAGCCTTTTTTTAGTAAATAAAGAAATATAAAGCTACCTCCACAGTCCACAGAACATGAGACAAGCATTACTGGGAATGTTTATATACAGATATATACAGTACAGAAGAGAAGATCCATTTTATTTACATATGTACACACACACACACAGGCTGCTAACACTCTTAGTAAGGGTCAGGTTTCCAGCATATCCTTAGTGGCCTTTTACACTTGTCCAACAGCTCTTTGGACAACTTAAAGTTAGCATCTAAGCATTGCAGTTGATTTTAGTTACAAGCAAGTTATAAAAAGTAAAAACTTTCATGCTTGCCCTTGTTTCATTGTAATTTTTCTTTACAATCTTCAAGCAATCTGCAAGTCTGAAAACATTTCTTTGACTCTGGCATAAAATATGATTAAAACGATCTGAGTTGGCTAGAGAAATATTTCCTTCAATGTTTATTAATACCATTGTACCCATCACTTTCAATAGATTTAACCATTTAGTTAAGAAAAGTTTTAACAAAAAAGTCAAAATTATTTTTTAGCCTTGTAAAAAGGATGAATCGCCATAGGATCAATTGATGATTCAAGAATGATTTGAAGATCGCATTTGGCCTCGATAAAAATAACATGGCAGTACTGCACATCCGGCGACCAGACAAATAGTGCGGGACATATTTATCTGGCAGGCATGCCACGCTTTATAAAAAACGTCGTCACTTTTTAACCATTTGTTCATTATTTTTACCAGCAATAATTCTTGTATTTCTTTTTTATAATTCAACATATTTCTTTTTCGTGACTATCTTGAATTTGTTGAATATGAAGTACCGTAAACTCTATCGACAATTAGCGACCACATGACAAGGCTGACGGACAAATATCTAGCGCATCTTTGTTATGGTGGTCATGTGACTTGGTCAAATAAATACTAGCCGGATGAATATCTAAAGAATTTATTCACTTATTCGTCCAGTTGCCGGACATGTATGCACTTTGTAAAATCCAAAGCAACACTTCCTGTTGAACCGGATTTTTTTAATTTTTTTTTTGGTCGCTTTCGGATTTTTATGATGGGTGAAAAATTATAAACTTCGAAAAATCTGAATTTTAAGGTGTTTGTCGGAAGGTCGGAATAAGGGGTAAAAAATCTGTACAATTCCGACAAAATAGTCGTAAGGGTTGGGAGGTCTGTAAACACACACAGAATTTTAAACAGTCCACTTCAGGCAGTTTAAAACTTCACAAATAACCTGGATTATGACAAAAATACAGGTATAGCACAAATGTACACATCACCTGGCAAAACAAAGGTTTTTACCTTGTTTATTTTGACAGCTTCATCCTTAGAAATAACTCCTGTTCCACTACACGGTGCATCCAATAAAACTCTATCAAAACTGTGAAATACCTTTACAAAACAAAAAAAAAAATACTTGACATGCAAGAAAGAAATTGCATAACTCCATTTTTTAAAACTTTAACATGAAAATGCCTAGTGTGCAAAGAGGGGATGAAATTTAAATTTTAATTATTTCTCTAGTTAGAAATGAAGGATGTTATTTTCATTTTGTAGATGGTGCTTTACTGCTTCTAGGATATATTAATCCCCCAAAGAGGATACAAAAATTTATCTGCAATGATCAGGTGCCAAATGTTTTAGATACAATATGTTACTTAACTTTACCTTTGGTAAACCTCGTCCATCATAGTTTGTAACAATGCTGTTGATTACACCCATTCTGTGAAGATTGGATACAACAGCCTTGCATCTGTCTTTGTTAGCATCATTGGCCCAAAGTAAACCCGTATTTTTCATAAGGGCAGCTGTTTTTGCAAGTGAGGATAAAAACATTCAAGTTTACTGTACAATAATAATGGAAATATTAATAGAAGTTTTCAATTTAAAAAGCATGAAATATTTTTTACTTAATTAAATATAATGTATCTCGGAGTAGATCTTGGTTTGATAATGGTGAGAAATGTTATCCCTAAGGCCTTATTCCTTGTAAGAAAATCAAAAGGTTCTTGTTTGAGACTTTATAACAGCAATACATTTTAAGGACATACATGTAAATATCCTGAAAATTTTAATAAACTTCACTCATATTAGTCACTTAGAGAAATTTATTTGTAATATTCAGAGCAGACATATGATGCATGTAACAAAATAACTTTTCTGCTAAATATTATAAAAATTCATCCTAAAATTATCTTTTGTTGAGTATTGTAACATTTCTTACAGCCCCTCCCTAAATAAACTTAATTTTAACTCCCAAATTTGTATGCACAATATTATGTCTTTTAACATAGAGGTTAGCACTCCTGCCTTGCTCCAAGCGAGAACAAAGCCTGTTTTTTTATAGCTTAACTTATTGCAGTGTTACTTCCGTACTCAATTTATATGCCTGAGAAAGGGAAGTAGCTCCGTTTTTGCAATTGATTTACATTTGTAAAATATTTTAATAAGCTGCTAAATATTATTTAATGTTAATGAATTACAATCAAATGCACCAAAATATGAATAAGGTTTAATAAAAATATAACATTAACGGCGAAAAAATAATGAACAATGACCAAAATTCGATTTTCAGCACCTAAGGCGAACACATGCTACATAAAGACCCGCCGTACTAAAGCACACATATTTTTAAACTGCAACAAGATAAAAACTTCCGGTTTTTAAATTGAAATCATGCTGAATCACGCCATCACCAGAAGTCTCCAGGGATGTAAGATTTCACTGTTATTTTTATATAGAAATGAGAGAAGTGAGTTGCTATGTGCTAGGACTCATTTGGACGCATCCTTCGAAACCCCCAAAGGACACATTTAGTTGCAACCACCGGGAATGAGTTAAAGGCTTACAAGGACAGATCCAAGCCAATGAGTACTACTGGAGCGGTGTGAAAACAACGATGGATTAACATACCAATGTAACTTGACTTCCCACCAGGGGCTGCACACATGTCAAGGATTCTATCCTTTTCTTGAGGTGCCAGTGCCATCACAGGTAAAAAACTAGCTCCACCTTGCAGCATGTAGTGTCCGGCCAAGTACTCTGGTGTGGCTCCTAAAATTGTCATGAAATTAATTATAGATGGCACATAAAAAAAACAGCCAGGCAGAGACAAAACTTTTTATAACATTTCAAAATTAATTTGCCCCACTAAGTTTGGAATAAATTTCTCTAATAAAATTGATGGAGTTTGCCTACCACAAAGATATATGGTTAGTTATAGCATGTAGGTATCTGAAGCAGGAAACATTCTATCAACAAAGGATTTATCTGTTGTGCTTACCCAATGGCACTTTAGTGTCAAAAACTGTGAGTCCTACACTGCTCCATCTAGCCATAGGTTCAACATTAACACCACGGTCAATTAAAACCTTATAAAAAGATAAATATAGAATTTAAAGTAAAGAGTAAAAAAAAATGTATTTCAGCAAAATTTGACACAAATTAAAATACTTCTCTAATAATTCAATTAACTACTTTTAAAAAAAGCAGTTCTATTTTTTCTAGTATCACGAGATGCTGAATGATTACCGGTCCTAAGTCACGACGCCGGGTCTTCAGTGTGTTGGTGCGAATGGTGACTGGGCGAGGATACTCATTGGCTTCTAAAAAGTCCATTATCTACACACAGAAAAAAAAAAAACAAGAAAAGAATTTACACTCTTTAATTATAATTCAATTAACTACTTTTAAAAAAAGCAGTTCTATTTTTTCTAGTATCACGAGATGCTGAATGATTACCGGTCCTAAGTCACGACGCCGGTTCTTCAGTGTGTTGGTGCGAATGGTGACTGGGCGAGGATACTCATTGGCTTCTAAAAAGTCCATTATCTACACACAAAAAAAAAAAAAAAAAAAAAAAAAAAACAAGAAAAGAATTTACACTCTTTAATTACATTTGTTCATTGAGTTCTTCTGAGTTTGACAGACTTTATTTTGGGTCACTTTACAACTAAATTGAATGATAAAATCTTAATTATATTCTTGAATATAAGCCATTGAGTGTTATGGAGTATAAGTTAACCTAACAGCATATATTATGGAGTGTAATTTAAAAGAGTATACAGTATTATGGAGTATAAACTAAAAGAGTAGATTATGGAATATACACTAACTTATTATGGAGTATAAGCTAAGCGCATATTATGGAGTATAATTTAAAAGTGTATACAGTATTATGTAGTATAAACTCACACTGTATATTATGGAGTATTTGGACGAGAGTTTGGAAGTGACTGATTACACAAATGACCAGTTTCTTCTAAAAATGTATTGTAAAACCCGAGTATCCAAATTACCTCCCTAACAATTTTTACCGGTAGTTTTTAAGTAATCTCTATTAATGTATGCTAAACCTAAAAATACAGACCCAGCGAAAGCAAGGCAAGAGAAAGATTTAAATCTTCAGATCTTTTTCAGATGTATGAGCAAATTTGCAAAGTAGATTATCATAACATAAGTAGGATAGGAGCTTGCAAAGTGGATATATCATAACAAAGTAGGCAACGAGCTTGCAAAGTGGATATATCATAACAAAGTATGCTACGAATTTGCCAATTGGATATATCATAACATAGTAGACTATGAGCTTGCAAAGTAAATATACCATAACATAGTAGGCTTCAAGCTAGCAAAGAGGATATATCATAACATAGTAGGCGACAAGCTTGCAAAGTGGATATATCGTAACATAGTAGGCTACGAGCGAAGTGGATATATCATAACATAGTAGGCTACGAGCTTGCGAAGTGGATATATCATAACTTTGTAGGTCTCAAGCTTGCAAAGTGGATATATCATACATGCATAGTAGGCTATTAGCTTGCAAAGCGGATATATCATAACATAGTAGGCTACGGGCTTGCGAAGTGGATAGATCATAACATAGTAGGCTACGTGCTTGCTTAAATCAAAGATATTTTATTTTCACACTTCTTTTTGTTTTAAAGAACAGAATCAGCTGGAATTATTCACCTCTACTGGGAATAGATCCAACAGTTTTGACATGAGGAAATCATTGTAGTTAAAACGAGCACACAGATCTTTAACCAACTGCTCTCTGTACTCTTGCCTGGATCTAAATTTGAGGAGAATGATATCCGCCATAAATATCACATAAACACTCTATGGATAAAAATGTTAGAACAAGTTTTTTTTTAAAATTAAATCTTATGTAAAAAATAAATTTTCACATGTAACGACATAATTTTGGAATTTTCTCTATTCAAGCAATTTATTTTTGTTTAATTTTGGTTAATTATTCTCTAGAAAGGATCAGACTAGGGAAAAGTAAAATGTTTGAATATACCCCCAACCCCAGTTTTAACAAAATCAGTAAAAAAAACTTTGGCCAAACAATGTAAGGAATGGATTGTGCTTTTATTTTGTGGATTAAACAAAATTCTGATGCAGGATGTAACAAATTCATCAGATTCATCTTAAGATCTACAGTGGCACAATAGATATACTTTAATAACACATAGATATATTTAAGCAGCAAATGAGATATATTTAAGGTGCTCAATAGATTTATTTAAGTAATAACTTTTGTTACCTGCCAGCCTCCCTCCGTGTATTGAAGTCTGAAAGAACATGTCGTATGTGTGCAATCCTATTATCTAAGATTGCGAGATCTGGTGGTAGCATTGGTACATATGGTTAAGGACGAAAAGTTTTAGTAATAAAAGGCTTTCCTTAACCCTATTCAACAAAATTTGACTTAGCTGCCAATTTAAAAGTTCATTACTATTACATTCTTTCAGTGATCAGTATCCTTGAAATTCATAAAGTTATATTACAGATGGTAGGTCAACAACTGACATTTTAAAAAATGTGTATTTATAATATGTTTTCTTTAATTTTTATCATATTGAAATAAGACCTAATTAATTCATATTTTGAGGAGTACAGTTATAATCTAAAAAGCTTTTCTTTTTTTTTAATCAAGGATATTTTCCCTTTCCACCTCTTGTCCACTGGGTAGAACAAACTTTTCTTGTGACTCAATGTTGAGCATCAATTCTGCTTTTGCCATCTCTCTGAAAAACAAAAAAATATGTTCTTCCAAGCAGCTATTGTTACCTTATGCAATGAGTACAGTATACATACAAGTTGTTCAGTATTACAGACAAGAAATTCTTTTACACAAGGAATGCCTAACAATAAGCAAAGGAATAATTATCTAATGTTTTTTAAAACCGGCCCACTTCACAATCGATATACATTTTAAGGCGTGGATCTTTAAGGACTTCAGGAACTTACGTATCAATTTTCTCCTTTTCCAACAATACTTTAGAAGCTTTTTCAACCTCCATGTCCTGGAATAATAAAGTACATAATTCGTAAAGTAAAAAAACACAGAGGGATTTATCAGTTCAGCACATTTTAATCTGATTTTTAAAACATTTCTCTTAGAATATGAAACAAACAGTTGACACTGTATGCAAAAGCTTGATCTCCATCCAACAAATAAATATGTATTTCCCAAGCTTACACATACTATGTGCATCATATTTCCTTATTTACAACTCAATCACAGCCTTCTCTCTTATTTTCCATAGTTTCACATTTCTATTAACTAGCACATGAAATGGAATAATAAAAAGATTTAATCTGTCAGATGACATATCTGGATAACATACATATTTTTAGTTTCTATATAAAAAGATAGCATATACATATTCAAGCATTAAAAAAAAAAACTAACTTGTTCATCTTCTTCCACTTCAGATGATTCAGAACCACTTCCACTGTCATCTCCATCACTGTCAAATAAGAGCTGAAAAATATAATATTTTAATAGCTTATGATAGATAGATATATATTCTTAGTATTACATGTATTAACTACTGTTGTAAGTGTCTGCTTTTAAAAGCTACAGACTGTCATATATTTGCTCTACAAACCTTTGCTTTTTTGGCATCTCTCTTGCCAGCATTGTCACTTGCAAGATTTACTGAAAAATAAATGTAAGAAAGGAAAATAAAATTAAAACGTTGCACTTTAATATTCATGCCTGATGGTTAAGGATATGCTTTAGAAATTGTTACAATTATCAACATTCTTTGGCTGAGGGATCGTATACATGATATTAACACAATTCATATGTTTAGTGTATGTCAGTACAAGATGTTGGGAGCTAGAAACTATTTACTTCTACCACCACACCAAACCATTCGCACTGAAATAAGATTTACCTTTACGTTTCTGTCCAGTCTTCGCTGGGGCATCTTTTTTCAGCTGTCTCTTTTTGAGTCTTTGAATAAATGAAACAGTGCAAAGTAGCTTTTCAAAATTGTCAATGGCAAATATAAATAACTGAAAGGTTATTCGCTACATTTGACATCATATTGAAAAACAGATATTCTCTAAGCCCGTTTTGAAAATTAAGACTGTAAAATTGTATTTTTTTAAATGTATTTGAAGAGCCCTTTCCTATGACTGTACTTTATGGACTCAAAGATATTTTATTTTAGAACATTTTCATTTTATAAAACCAGAAGATGAATTTACAGTTTAATAGCTAATACAAATATCTAGTACAATTGACAAAATGCATTAAAACGTAATGCATATTCAGTGTGAAAAAGATTTCCTTGTTGTTCAAACTGCAAACCTTAGCATGTCAATGGTGATATAGCATGATATTTTTGTATACTGATGTTCATACTTCAAAACTTCTTAAGTCACTGCTTTTTTTAATGAAAAATCTTAACAATTAAAATCAAATTATGGACATATTTAGTTTTAGCTCCTGACACATCAAAACTAGTCAGGTTTAGTCTGTGGTCACAGTGGTTTGTGTTTTGGAGCAATTGTGGAGGATAACTAGGCTTACACAATATATTAAAACATATTATTATATTTATACCGTTCTTTCTGTCTATGGCTAAGCTTCTTTTTGATTTCTTCGGAATCTGAAAAATAATTCAAAATGAAAGGCATAAAATATTTTATTTTGGGGAACTGTGAAGGCCTAATCACTTCTTTAACTCTAACTCAGCTAATACTAATAGAATGGGTTTAACCTAAACACTAATAAAAAATTAAAATGTTGATTTATCTGTTGTTTGTTCGCCGACGAAGGTTTCTTGCCAACACATTTATAGTTTGTTGTGCCCTTTTTCAGATGTTCCCAAATTTTTTTGTAGTTTGTTCCGCTCATTTCCTTTTTCCTAACCTGATGGCAATCTCTCCCCCTTATTACCATGACCGTGCCACAATATACATGGCCATGCCATGGACCTTGGCTATACTTATACTTGATACTGTGACAGTGTAAGTGAAACAAGTGTCATACTTAACTTTTTTCATATCACACATAAGGATAGTACTAAGTCTAAGTACTAATAATAAAATATAATAAGATGGCTAAAGCAGACAAGATACACTAGAGATGATAGTATAAATAAGCTCACCAAATAAAGAATAAAGCTGAACAGAATGGTGTACTGAAGTACTGTGTGGGTAAATGTCTACACACACAAAAAGTAAAAGCCACATACTTATACAGTATGCAGTCTTGCATACAGTTACAGTGTTGAGTGGCATACATTTACAATTTACTATTTACATGAATGATACAGCCCAGCCTGGACTAGTGAGCCTACTCAACATTAACAGCAACAACATTAATTTTAATAATTCTAAGCTGCATTCATTTTCATTTAATTCAAAATTCGATTCAAAATTTTACCTTCAAATTTAGTTCCACTGAAAGATGGTGGCTTTTGTTTTTTTGTCTTCCGTCCAGGGCCGGACTTCGGCTTTTCGTCCAAGGGATCTCTTTTGCGACCCATCTCTAAACTATATGTATTGTGTGTTGGTTTAGATTTAACACGAGGACACAACTTCGTAAACCACTGTGTTGAAAAGCTAAAAATAGCTGAACCTAAATGAATTGCCAGTTAGGGCGAAAAGTTATTAACATTCTTTTTTTTCTTCTTTTTTACTTAATAGTTTTAGAAAAGATTTTTTTTTAATATACAAAAATTTAGAACGCCGCTCGCCTAACTTGATTTAATGGGTGTAAAATTTCTCTTTAAAGCGCATTTATTTTCAAATAATTATACACTGGATGGTATTCGTGTTACTAAGAGTTAATAAATGACCAGACCAGTTTTTAGTCGCATATGTGATCAAAAAAATAAACCGTAATTATGTTGCATGAATTTGAATACTTTAAATATCTATTGCATTTACAAGTCTTAGTTATCTCCGAAATACAAACTTCGATGCCGTCAAATTACGTAAATTCATGGTTAAGTTAATGTGGGAAAACCTTTTTTTAAAATAAAAATAGGTCCGAATTTTCTTTGAGAAAAGTGAATATTTCATTGATGAGTGTTGATACTCCCTATCCAATTTTCTCAATTTATTATTTAGAGCTTAGGCCTGTAAGAGAGTAAAGGTTACCATATGATGAGCCAATATCTTCCAATTGGTGTCATAATTACTCATGCACATTCGTATAGGTAGGGTATGTGCCGCCTTGTATATGTGGCTTATTTGGGTATGGGAGGTGACGTTCTTGAATTTTATGGTTTAGTCGTGGTAATGGAGTTGAAGAGAGAAATCGGATGAAAGAAGACACGCTGTTTTTCCAATAAAAATCCATATGTCATACAGATAATTGATTTCTTGAATAATTACCCCTACACATAACGAAGCCATTGAACTGCTTATCCCCTACTGGCAGTTCGTAACACAGGATAAAATTAGAGTGAAAGAAATGGACCGTTTAAAATGTAGGAGGTGATACTGTTGTGTGTGAAAATAAAATATTACACATCACATATGAGCACTTATCATGTCCTTGTATCTTGCTACCTGAGCAACTGAAGACCGTGAAGGGAGGGGAGCGTATCTTTAGGGGTAATCCATTTAGTACGTATGGCAATAAGACAGATTTTTGACCCCCCTCCCCCTGTTGCACGCGTACTTTTTTGGACACCCCCATATGTACGTACAAGAAAATATCATTTAAAAATCAATTAAGTTTTACCCAACACTAAGATACATCATTTACAAAATAATTTTTACCCTAAGACTAGGATACATCATTTACAAATTAATTAAGTTTTACCCCAACACAAATCATTTACCAAGTAATTAAGTTTTGTTAAAGAACAAAGAGAAGATTGAATAAAACAAGAGTTGCATGTCTTTTCTAAACTTTTATTAAGGAGACTGAAATGCATTCAAGATATCTAAATTATCCAATACCCATCTTACAACAACAAAAATAAAAATGCTAAATTTGTAATGATTCTTAAAATATGATAGAAGGAAGATATATACTTATACCAGTATGAATTTGTGTCAAATTTCCTTTAAATTTAAGAAAAAACAGTGCGGATACAAAGATTTTTAAAACACATCTGTTTACAAATAAAGCAGTTTTTTTTAAAATTTCTCAAGACTTTAATTTTTGAAACAATAAATAAATACCACAATTTACATCTTTTTTTTTTTTTTTTTTTTTGAAAGAAAGCGTTAGCATGATAAGAAATGTTGCCTTAATATAAATTGCAACTATATAAAGCAGAAATGTTAAAAATGGGCAAAAAACATTTAGGCTGACTTTGAAAGCACAAAAGTTAATGTTGTTTTATTTGGTTCCCCAGACAAAGAGATATATTATAATCAAAATAAGGGTGGGCTGTATTCTGTAGTATATATATATATGGCAACCTTCTACAATTTACAACAAACAAAAATCTTTATTATAAAATAAATTATTTTGTACAGTATCCACTGCATATCACCCAGGTAGGAAAACGTGCAGCTAAATATATTGCAGTGTAGAGTAGATGACTGAGTTGCAAAAGACTACATTGGCCGCATATGAGGAAATAATTCACAGAAGATACTGAGAATACATCTCTATTAAATCTGAAAATTATGTTACATTATGTCTGAAATACGACTGAATTTTCAAGAATTTTTTTTTTTAAAATTTCAATAAATAACTTTAAATATAAGTTATTTGTTATGAAACTGTATTACACATTATTTTTCAGATTTATTTTCTTACATTGCGGCACCTTATTGCTGTGCTTACATGCTCAATGTAGAGCACCATCCAGTCCTGTGCCTTGAAATTTTTCTTTTACAGTTAATTCAATTTCAAAGCAATTCACAAATTTTACAGAGTGAAATCTGCGAACTAATTACATCCTTATTTGCTGTTGTTTGACTGTCAGGACTCTGAGGACTGTGTTAATTTCTAATCTACTTGGACATGCATTCTGATATGTATCTTATGTATGTAAACATAACAGGACTGATCATGAAGGCAAAATATTCACACCTTTATATAAAAACAACCACAAATGCACACTTTAGATCATGTTGTCGCTTGCAAACAAAAAGGAATAAAAAAATTAACAGTTATCAATTTTTCTTCACAGAATTGAAAAACCTTTTAAAAAACGTGTGTTGTGCTTGAGAACAATTAAAACACCGCTTAAATCAGGGATTCTTTAGCCAAGACTTCAACCTTTTTGATATCCATGGGAATTAATGAGCTTGGGTGGTTATCAGTCTTTATTAATAGAACTCGACAACTAGAGAATCCATAAGTTTTCTTCATTTTAGTATTAAGAAATTAATTTTCATCTTATCTTTCATGATAAATCTTTTATTACACAAGTATAATTGAAAAAAAAAATCCAATTAAAAATTACAACAAAAAAACTTGTTGAAATAAACAAAACAATTACTTACTGTGTTAAAAAATCATCACATGAATTTAACAATCATCAAATGAACTAACCAAACAACTGATCCAACACATTTTACATAGAGAAATTTTGATCACTACAAACAAAATTTTTTATTAACTTACTCAACTAATTACAGCTAATGTGTTTATGCCCTGAAATGACATAGTTTAAATCTGTGTAAGAAAATCTGGCCAAAGAAGGGAGTGTAGCAAAAAAAAAAAAAGGAATATGTGAATAGGAATTTTCAACTAACAATTTTATCACAGATGAGAAACAAGAAGGACCATGTGAGAACAAGCAATCTTTAACTAATTACAGCTAATGTGTTTATGCCCTGAAATGAAATAGTTTAAATCTGTGTAAAAAAATCTGGCCAAAGAAGGGAGTGTAGCAAAAAAAAAAAAAAGGAATATGTGAATAGGAATTTTCAACTAACAATTTTATCACAGATGAGAAACAAGAAGGACCATGTGAGAACAAGCAATCTTCAAAACAAAACATGCGTGGGCAGGCTTTTAAAATCAATTAATAAGCAGATTATAAAAAGGTCAATATTTGTATACAATTCTTGTATTTAAAATTATCCTTCAGAATAAATTAAACATTTTATTTAAAAAATTATTGTTTATGACTTAATTCATTGTTAACAAAAGTAATAAATTAATTTTTTAACTTAAAAACCATTTTTTACTATATACATCTTCTAAAAGTCCCGTGTAAAATATCGGTCTACAGTCATCATGACAAACTAAAACTCTAAAGAAGAAATACAAACACTTGTATTACTGAGTTAATTAGGCGGCAACAAAACTGCAACAAAATGAGGAACACATTCAGTGGAATATGCTGGAAGGCAAACGCATCATACTACACGTTGTCGTAGTCTCTTCAGAAAACAAACAACCATATCAGTGCTTTCCAAAATTGGTGCATGCTGGTTCAAATGGGGCAATGATACTTTGTATAGGCCTGAATGAAACTAATGGGGGGAGGCCAATCATAATTTTAAAAATAAGGATGTCAACAATTTAAAAAAACAAAGTATGTGATCATAAGCAAACCATTTGGAAACTCCTGATTTATATATATGCTATATAAATATAGATTACAGGTAAGTTATTAATGCTTACCGATTTATACAAATGTTAGAAAACCAAATTATAATTTATTTTTTACTAAATAATGAAATACTTCCTTTGAATTAATTGGAAGACAGACTACTTAAAAAAATATGTAATAAAACACAGGTGCAAGAATATTTGTCAGCTTTCAAAAGTAAATGGATCTTTACAATAAACATCAAGCAGTAACAGGCCTTTTAATGCCCCCACATATCTTGTCATTGTTACAAATGACATCCCAAAAAAACATTAAAAAATATGACTTACAAAACTCAACTCCCCCCCCCCCCCCC